TGATATTCTTGTATTAATTGAATTTATAGAAAAGCGATAAAAAGGGGGGGGGGGTTGGATTAAAACTAAGATCCTAATTAAATAAATAAAATCTAAACAAACGAAATAAAAATAAAAATAAAATAAATAAGAGAAATTTCTAGTTCACGGTACCGTCTACACCCTCGACTGACTCATCTAATCAACTTTGGTATCAAATCTCGCTATCTTATGAAATTACTAGCCCTAGGTAACGACACGGTCTGTTACCCAAATTTTTCCTTATTTTTAGTCTAACTGCGAGACGCTCTACGATTAGACCTGACTTCTTGTACAGTCTAGAAAACTCTTCTTAGATTTAATACAATCAGTCACTTTACGTATTAGAAAAATAGGCTAAACTAAGTAGTGACGCATTCGTTCACTTAAATAGGCCGTGTTATCCTCGGTAGTTACCATCTTCCGGATACCACTTGCGAATTAAACACATCAACAATTACGGATTGAAGGCCTAATTCAGGTGTAGATATATAAAGCCTAGTCTAGGTGATCAATCTAAACAAGACTCAACACATCATGGTTAATTATTCAAAATAACACGAACAATTCCAAAAAGATAACTCAATAATCAACCATGTAAATCAATCAAACATCATCAAGTCGTAGGGTTCGACATCCCCGGAAACTAGAAATAAAAATTAGCCTGACATAATAAATAAAAAGAAATAAAAGATAAAAGAGAGAGATTAATTATCTCCCTCGTGTACGGGTGCGGCCTCCCTCCGCAATTCGTCGGGCTCTCTTGTCTGTCCTCTGCACTGCGGCTCTTTTCTATGATGTTCTCTCGCTGGCGGCTCTTTTTGCGTGTGTAAGGGCTGCGTGAATTCTCCCGATAGTCTGGCCCCTCCTCTGTTTTCTGTCTCTAGCCAAATAAATACTCCCAGGATCCTTGGAAAATAATTGCGTGGAGACTTTTTTTTCTTCTCAGCCTTGCAAATTAAAATGGCTCCCAAATCTACACGTGAATGGATTATCTCCCAAGCCCAACATCATTCTTTTTCTATTTTAAATCCTCCCAACTTAACGGACCTTTCAAATTAACGGACCTTCTGATACATACTCTCGGGCTGCGTGCGTCTTTCAGAGAAATACTTTAATATGCCTAAAATAAACATAAAATATCTCAATGTACATAAATTCATTCAAATAATAAATAAGTCGAAAAATATATAAGTGCGATAAAATTAAGCATATAAAAATACGCTAATAAATATATAAAATACACACTTTTTCCGACCAATCATAGCTGCTGCGCATAAAATTCACGAACACAATATTGCTTACATCCTAACCATAATATTAATTTTTTTTCAAAAAAATTCACTTTTTATCCAAAAATATTTATAGAAAATCGTAACAAGTTAGGTGAATTTTTTCTTCTAATTAATCAGTCAAAATCAAGTTGGTGAATTAATCTTTGCCAGTATAATTTTTTCTTTAAACTTTATTTCTTTATATATAAAAAGATAAATTATTCTTCAAATTAATTTAATTTAAACTGTTCAAGAATTTATTTTTATATTATTGACAATCATGATTATTTTTTTATCCTATTTTTTTTATTTTGATTTCTTTATATAATAATAATCGTGAAAATATATTTTCATTGCAGAGTATTGTTTTGTATGTTTTTTGTTGTTATTTTGTGTGTTCTTATGTGTTTTGTTTGTGTTCGTTTTATTTTATTTTAGGTTTTTCCTGGTCCATTTAGTCGTATTTGCTCGTTTTTGTGTCCTCGTTTCGTTTTGGTGTCTTGTGCTTTTTATTTCTCTTTTTACCTTTTATTTTGTAGGAAAAGCGTGTTCCGGATAGTCGGTAACAAATTTATGGGAAAATGCCAGAAAGGCACCCGAGACGAGGAGAAAAATGAGGAACGTGGGTCGAAATTTCTAATCAATCGGAGAAGCGTGCGAGAAGTTAGAGAGAATCGAGTTGAAGCCACCCTTGCTAGCGAAAATAGCTAGCGAAAATCATGATCTATCCCGCGAAAATGGTGTATCCCGCGAGTCCATGCTAACCTGCGAATTCCTTATGCTATCCTGCGAGTTTTCATCCTCTATCATGCGAATCTCACGTATCCTGTGAGTTCCACCTAACTAGCGAAATCGACCTGCGAAAATCAAAGACCTACCCTGCGAGTTCGACCTATCCTGCGAGTTTTCATCATTTAATGTGTGTGTTTTAGTGTGTGTTTGTGGTGTATTTATAAATAGACATTGTGCTTTGTAATTTGGGACATAACCCTTATTTTTCGACTTTTAAGTTGGGAAAATCCTCTCAATTTTCTTTTTTCCCTTTTTTTATATTTTGGTTTGGAGCATATGAATCAAGTTTTCCGGCGAATTTCCGGCGACATTGTTTCGAGTAAAGTTTCGAGATTTTGACTCCGTTTCTCATTTCAAGTGCGTGTAAGAGTGGGTACTTAGTCTTAAGCCTCATTACTTCGTATATCTTTGTTTGCTTTTGTGAAAATTGATATTGTGCTTGAGTTGCTTGGAGGAAAAGATTGAATCTTTGGATCGTGAATGCTTGACTAAGTGTTATTAGGAGTTAAATGCTTGCTCGTCTTGTGCTAGAGTTTGGTTTGGCTTCCTAGGGTTTTAGCTAGCATGACAATGTTTGGTTATTTGTGTGTGTTTGATCATGGAGACTCCGGCGAACCAAAATCTCTCTTTCCCCCTTGATTTCTCTCATCTTCTTGCGTTCTTTCTCTTGCTTTGTTGATTGCTTTCAATTGTCCTAAATTTCGTAGATTAGTTTAGCTTAAATTCATCCCTTCAAGCGAGTAGCATGTTTAGGACCTTTTCGGTTGTGTGATTGGCGACTAGATAGTGAACGAAGCTCCGAAGAGCTTTCCTTTGAGAACGACCCGAGTCCGGGTAACTCGGTTACCAATTGCCCAAAAATACTACAAACAAGTATACTAAATAAACTATATATCCTTATAATGCAAATTAGAAAATCTTGATCATAGAAGGGATTGAGTTTTTGGCATTTGCTAAATCAAAGTTGTTTAATTAATATACAACATTAAATTCTAAAAAAACACGTGTGTATATTTTGTAAAATATTTATACACTATTTAATTGTAAATTTATTACATCTTTTAAATTAATTACATAAATAAATAATACTAACGTGCATTAAATATTTTTCATTACATAAAATAAAAAGAAAATCATTACATAAAAAAAGAAGAAAAAGAAGACGTACAACTTTTACAAATAATAATGACATTATATGACAATAAAATTTATAATAAAATTATAATTAAGTATTATATGCTGAACAAAAATATGTAAAACTTTTATTTTCTCTTATATCACAGAAAAAATATATATACTAGAATCAAATTTATGTTAGTATAAAATGTGTTAGTGAGATAATATATTAATTATTTTTTTACTAGCCCTAACATAGTTATATTCAATGTTATGACTAAAACACAACGCAAGAGGTGGAAAAATGAAAAATAAATTATAACACTATTGTTTTTTAGACTTAACACTGATTAAAAAAGGTGAAAAATACATGGTAACCATATTATTTTTTAAGCTTAAACGAACAGAGCCTGCGAAAATTAAAAATAATTAAAAAAAGGCAACTTTATAGACACAATTATTGATGAATCTTGGACTCACATACAAAATCTTGATATTTTCACTTGAGCTTCTAAAAAAGATGGGTTTAAGGTATTAATTATATTTTTCAAA